AAGAGGTGCCGAGGGGCCGGAACCCAGAGGGACTGTCCACCGACTGGATGGTGGGGGTGGGGGATGAAGGTCTCCTTCCCCTTCCCTCCCCTCTGCTCCTCTCCCCTCCCCTCCCCTCCCCTCCTACTTTATTCCTATGTCTAGCATGAAAAGAGGGAAAGTGAGATAGTCAGGGATCCACCCCAGGGCTCCATCAGCTTCATAGAGCCTCCCCCAAAAGGGAAGGATGCCTTATCCACTGTGTATGTGAATAAAAGCCTTTCATGGTTTTCTTTATGGCAAACGCACATCCCTTCACTTAAGAATGCGCCCATTTTGAATTCAGCGGCAGGGCTGGCCTGTGTGAAGCCCTCCTGGCACACGGGTAGGCGCTTGATGAACCTGCCCCCGTTAGGCTTTGCCCCAACTCTGAGAAGTGAGCAATGCTGTCCCCACTCGGTAGTCAAGGACGCTGCAGCTCAGCGAGGTTAAATTAACTTTCTCAGCGTCACTCTGCTGCGAGCGGTGGAGCCGGGGGTGTGAACCCAGCCGGGCATACGAGGATTTTTTTGCCGCTTATCATCACCCTGAAGCTCGCTGCAGAGCTTCCATCAGCTATACAGGGTTTCAGTACACATCTGTGCATTCTGAATGTCTCTTCTTACCACAGACTATGCTAGAAAATTCTGATCATTGTTTTTCCAGGACCCAGGATGACAGCTCTTCCCTCTGAACATGCAGCCAGGGACAGTGTCAAGAAAGTCCGAGGTGATTCCTGCAAAGGGCATACAACTCGGCTGTACTCCTCGAGTCTGCCCTCCTTCTTCCTCTCCCTGCTTAAGGAAACAAACCCCTTCCTCTTTCCCAAGGAAACAAACCCCTTCCTCTTTCCCAAGGCTTGCCCTCTATCTGTGACCTTGACCCCATTCCTGCTGCCTCTCTGGGTTTTCGTTTCATCAGTGTCTTCCCCATTTCCTGAACTCGAGTCTCATTTTCTCTCCTCTTTATCCTAGAAACAAATTCAGATCTCTCCTACCCATAAAACAAAGCAAGCCTGTGCAGTCCAGTAGTCACTACAGTCTACTCTCCCGCCTTCTCAGCTACACTTAAGAGAATGGCGACACCTCCGCCCACTCCTCACTGCTATCCTCAGCTACTACAGAAACTATGTATGCAAAGACCGATGAGATATTTATCTTGGCTAGCTACCAACATTAGGCCAACCCCAAGGAGGAGACAGAGACAGACGCAGAGAGAGAGCAGGGATGTAAACCGCTACTGAGAATCAGACGCACTCCAGCCGTTGCTGGCCACTTTACCTACGTTATTGCGTGCGGTGGCTTCAACATGTGGCAGTTATTAATAACTCCTCGTCTCAGTTGAAACTGAGGTTCCAGAAGTTAAAAAGTTTTCTCAGAATCACATAAAGAGATCTTTAGATTTTAGTCACCCACAAAGTTAATAGGAGCCTGCAGTGTGTTACAAGTTCTCAAAACAATAGCTCATCAATGACTCGTTTTCATAGAATCGGTGCTGGATCTCAAGAACGGGTTCCCTGCACAGAAAACACCCATCTGCGTCTTAGAAAGAACATGGTGAGATGGGGTGGGGGTCGGGGGGGGGGCCCAACGACAAGGGAGTCTGGAACCAAGTCATGTGAAAATGAGCTGCTGAAGAAGCCGTGTTACAGCAGACTTGGTATATACAGGAGATATTTCACAGAGTGCAAGGATTAAATAAAATAATATTATGTCCAGGACAAAGCACGTGCTTGATAGAAAGCAAACTCTCAATACACCCAACAAGAGGAAAGGTAAACTATGGAAAGCAGTATGGAGGTTCCTCAACAAACCAAAAATTGAAACACCATATGACCCAGTAATTCTACTTCTAGGAATTTACCCAAAGAAAACAAAATATCTGATTCGAAAAGATGTATGTACCCCCATGTTTATTGCCACACTATTTGTAGTAGCCAAAATATGGACACAAGCCATGTCCATCAATAGATGAATGAATGAATGAAGAAGGGGTACATAATGGAACATTATTCAGCCATAAAAAAGAAAGAAATCTTGCCATTTGCAACAACATGGTATTTTGCCAAATGAGATAAGCCAAGTGGAGAAAGACAAATACCATATGATTTTACTTACATGTGGAACCTAAAAACAACAAAACAGCAATAGACTCACAGACACTGCAGTGACTGAGTTACCATGGAGGAGGGGTTGGGGTGCGTGGGTGGGTGAGTGAAATAGGTAAAGGGAATAAAGTGGCACAAAATCTCCACCATAATATAAATTAGTCACAGGGATGAAAGCACAGCATAGAGAATGCAGTCAATAGTTCTGTGACATCTTTCTGCGTTGACAGAAACTACACTAGTCGGCATGAGCATCTTATAATGTCGAATTACTATGCTGTACACTTGAAACCAATATAATATTGTATATCAACTACACCTCGATAAAGAAACATACCAAAGAAAGAGGAAAGGCAGGCTCAGTGTGTTATGAGCTCTCCATCATAAGAGCGTGCACTTGAGGGTGGCGTAAAGAAGATTTCTTCTTCGGGGGCTTCGTGAGTCCATGATCTTGTTTCTAGGGCCCATATGGTACCCGTGAGATTCACGGTGAGTGTGTATTGGGGTGGGCGTGGCAGGGATGGCATGGTAAGGAGTGTGCTCACTACCAGCTGTATATCCCTCCTACCACAATTCCCACCATCCTTGACTGCACATCCCTGCCTGCATGGCCATGTGTCTCGCTTCTTGGCTGCACAGTAAGAAGAGAGTTGAGAAGGCCGCCTCTCTTAGAGGAAAAAGGATGATGCTAACGCCCACCACCTTCCCCTGCAACCATCAGGACTGCGGGCACAGCCCTCCTGCTGAAACAAACCTTTCCTCTGCCGTCACCATTCAGTGCCCCTCCCCTTGGCACACTGCCCCTCCCAAACTAATGAGCTAGGCTGCCTGTGGAAGTCACTCTCTCCAAATCTGTGTTTCCCAGGTTTGCTTCATGTCAAAGCTGCTGGTCATTCTGTCAGGGGAAGCTGGAGACCCTCTAGATACCATTCATAGGGAAATGCATCTGTCTGTAATCCCTGGCTTTGGTAGTTCTGGTCCAGCGTTCTTAGAACAATGTGTTTTACACTTGTTCCGCATTTTGCAGGATCAAACTGGAAGAGGGCCACAAGTTTAAAGATCTTGATGACTAAAGTCATCATAAGAGCGTGCACTTGAGGGTGGCGTAAAGAAGATTTCTTCTTCGGGGGCTTCGTGAGTCCATGATCTTGTTTCTAGGGCCCATATGGTACCCGTGAGATTCACGGTGAGTGTGTATTGGGGTGGGCGTGGCAGGGATGGCATGGTAAGGAGTGTGCTCACTACCAGCTGTATATCCCTCCTACCACAATTCCCACCATCCTTGACTGCACATCCCTGCCTGCATGGCCATGTGTCTCGCTTCTTGGCTGCACAGTAAGAAGAGAGTTGAGAAGGCCGCCTCTCTTAGAGGAAAAAGGATGATGCTAACGCCCACCACCTTCCCCTGCAACCATCAGGACTGCGGGCACAGCCCTCCTGCTGAAACAAACCTTTCCTCTGCCGTCACCATTCAGTGCCCCTCCCCTTGGCACACTGCCCCTCCCAAACTAATGAGCTAGGCTGCCTGTGGAAGTCACTCTCTCCAAATCTGTGTTTCCCAGGTTTGCTTCATGTCAAAGCTGCTGGTCATTCTGTCAGGGGAAGCTGGAGACCCTCTAGATACCATTCATAGGGAAATGCATCTGTCTGTAATCCCTGGCTTTGGTAGTTCTGGTCCAGCGTTCTTAGAACAATGTGTTTTACACTTGTTCCGCATTTTGCAGGATCAAACTGGAAGAGGGCCACAAGTTTAAAGATCTTGATGACTAAAGAATATTTGAGAGGCAGAGGAGGAAGTGCCACCAGGTGGGCTGGGCTCTTGGCCTCTGCCAGGCAATGAGGCCCTCAGTGTCCTTAAACACAGAGCCGTGGACACATCACGGACGCATATGGACTGGATCTGCTTATCTTGGGATAAAGGCGAACTGTGCAGTGCCTGGCAACAACATGTAAATATTTCTTACAACTAACAGAAAGGGTAGAACGGCTTTTGTGGAGGGCAGAGGGAGAAAAGCACAGTTTTTGCATATTTTCTGAGCTCTGTGAGGTAGATCTGTGCTGCAACACTGAGGTGCATTAGAAATGCAAAGAGACGCTCTGAACTGTACACTTGGACCTTTGTGTTTGCCTAAAAACTCACAGTAAAATGGGAATGTTATCTCCCAAATCATTTGCATTTTCTTGTTGCCCTTAACATTTAAAAGTGACAAGCTCTCACCCAGTCCTGTCAGCAGCATGCAGGAGCCCAGGTCCCCGCCTTACCCAGAGGGTCTGCAAGGGCTCCTTCTGTGGCTTCAAAAGAACAGCAATTTCTCCCTTCCCCAAGCACAGGGGGCACAGTGTTGTACGAGGTCATTCTGCCCCCACATTGCCTTAGCTGCACCCGGGGGCTGGGCAGGAACAGAGGCCATATGGGGTCTGCCCAGCACAGAACTCTCCAGCCCCAAACAGTAGCTCCATGAGGGTCCATACTTGTATCTGCCCTGCCAGGAAGCCTCCATCCCACTCAACAGTTGGGGGAACTGCGCAGCCGCTATTTAGACTGGAGTTGTGAAGGCTCAGACGTTTGACCATTTATAACCCCTTCTCCCACCGTGTACCAAAGCAGATTTACTCTCATCTTCCAGAACTCGTTAGAAATCTCACCATCCACCTCAAGTCTACTCAGGGTTTGCCATGTCACTATGGAAAGCTCAGGATGCACTTGATAGACCAAGGCCAGGTCCTGGAGCTCTCAGACAGGAGAGAGGCAGAGACGGTTTTCCCATCAGGAGACGCTGCAGCCTCCCCGGCTCAACCTGAGCTCTCAGAATGCACTGTAGCCTTCTTCTAGCTGAGCTCAGCCGCCTCGGCAAAGGCCGGTAAGAGGGAGCGGTTCCGCTGGCCACTGACTCTCGGCGCTACACTGATACTTGTAGCGGAAGGGCAGGAGGGGAGACCCCGCACAGAGCTGAGCAAGCACTGCCCCCCACCCATGCAACTGCCTCACAGAGACTGCGGAGGTCATTGCAGGCTTCCTGCTTTCCTTTCCTGCCCACCTTTCCCCACTAACCTTTCCTGTCCCGGGAGGCAGGAACCACAGCTGTCTTTCAGTGTTACATCCCCATGTACCCAGGACACCTCCCAGCCCAGTGTAGGGTCCCTGTAAGTGCACGCAGGTCACATAAATGAATCCCTTGCTTATTTCCAAGACCAGGGAGCCCTGCCATGGTACCTGCATGAACTAGCAATGACTGGAAGCAGTGGCAGCCTGAACCACCCATTTGTTCCCTCTCTGAGCTGCAACTGTATTGGGCATAATTTAGTCTGGAAATGTCCGGGTCAAGAAGCTACCGAGTGTTGTTCCATATAAAGAAACATACTCAGAGAATGCAGGGCTGGACCTCTCTGGTGTGGGGAGGTTTTTTTTAAGTGACAGCAGGGTTAATGGAAATGCAGACCCCAAACAAGCATATCTTTCTATATATACAATTATATAATGCATTTGAAAAATGCTTCAAAAATTATACATTGCTAGAGAAAGGGGAAGTTTTACAAAGAACATGTTTCTTCAAAAGAAAAAAAAAGGGAATACAGAGGTAAAACAATGATAAGATGATTTCCCCCTCACACCCTCCCCCAAATTCATTTGTTTAGCCTACAGGTGGAGGTAAACTCGGGTGCACTGAAGTCAGCCCAGCTGGGCTAACTGAATATCAAGGTGTCTGTGTGAACGTGTATCTTGCTTTTGCTCTCCAGGCTTCTTGCCTTCCACCCAGTCTCTGGCCTAGTAATTAATAGTCAAAATGCTGATCGCAAACACTTCGGGGAGGACTTTTGTGAAACCTCCAAGTTGCTGCCCTGACTCCACCCGTGTGATTAATCATCAGCATTAAAGGGAGACAAAGACCAGGAGAAGGCAAATTCCCAAGTTCACACAGAAATGCACACACCCCTCCACATTCAAGTAAAAGGCAATACATGCAGATGAGGGAAACGAGTGTGCACACAGACCGTGGGGGCCTGGCTCTCACACAACTTGCAAACAAAATCTACCTCTGTGCTCCCCCCCACCGAGCGAGGGGCTTCCCTTACCATTCTGGACCACGCTGATGAGGGTGATGATGGCCAACAGGACAATACTGCCCAGCGTTTCCTGGTCCATGTTTGCCTCAGGCTGCCCAGCGAGGACTGCTCCAGCTCCAGGCGCCCCAGCTCACACTCTGCAGGAAGGGGAAGTCGGGGCTGCACTTTGCCTTTCATCACTAGAATTTCCGAGGTACGGCACAATTACACAGCGCCTTCTCCTTTGCCTTCTTCTTCTTTTTTGTGTTTAGCCACCAAAGTGCCCTGGCTCAGGGTGGCCTGCCAAGGGAAGCAGGGCTCAGGACAGGGGCAGGAAGAGAAAAAAAATGAAACTTGTGTTTTATTTATAGAGCAGCCAAAATACCTGTGCCCTGAGTACTTTTTCTTCCCTTGAATTCCTAAGAAAAGGGATATTAACATATGCAGCGCCCAGAGTAGCAGCCACATAATAAGGCCTGGATGAGTGAATGAGTGAATGAGTGAATGATCAGCGGGGGACAGCTGGGGTCTCCATTTCTGCAGAAAACAAAGCAACAAGAGAATTAAAACTAAACCAAAGAATTTAGACATGAGGGTGACAGATGACCCCTAAGGAAACCTTCCAAACAGGAAGTATTGTTAAACACTACCACTGACTGGTCTGGGGTAACTGTTGAGACACAGTCCCTGGAATCTTCTCAACCCAAGGCTAAGAGTAGAGAGGAGGTGTAGGAGTGTGGAGCTGCTGGGTACAGCTGGTGGTTGCCTGGCATCTTACAGGACAGCTTCCTCCATGGAAATGGCAATCCCTGGGGAGTTACAGAGAAAATGCAAGATTCCTGCAAATCTTCATCCCAGATTCAACAACTGTTTGGCAGTGTTTGGAGTTTTTCTCAATACCTCACGTGGAAAAAGAAAGTTGGCCTCCCTAAGGGGTGGCAGCAGGCAGTTGCAGCTTTGTGAGGGTGGCCAGCACGGTGGAGACTCACCTCACACCAGAAGCAGCAGAGTCAGCTTCAGCATCCCCAGCTCAGCTCAGGGAGAGGGGCCTGGGGAGGCAGCGTTCAGACTTGGGAGCACGGGGGCCAGTAGTAAGCGCCACCCAGTCCCGTCATGACACTCTTGGGTGCTGGGGCCCTTTCAAAAATGTGGAGTTATTACAAGATTGGCTAGGGCTTCGGCACTGGCAAAATTTCTTATTCACCATAAAAAGACCTTATTTGTACAGGAAACTGGGTAAGTTTCAGAGAATGCTCAGGTCCCAGCAGACAAGCAGTCTGCCGCCATCAAAAGTTGCTCCTTCTAATACGTGTCAAAACTGAGCAGCAACAGGTCAGAAGTGAAGGCCAGTCCCCTTAGAAAGGACTCCAGCTGCAAACAATAGAAACTTAGCTCGAACCAGCTGCAAAGAGCAGAGATGTGGTTGGGTCTCGGAGCCAGGAAATTCTCGCTCTCTCTCTCAAATGTAGCACTGTCCAGTGGGGTATTCTCTCAATCTCTCTCTTCTTCTCTCACTTTCTCTTAATTTGTCTGTCTTATTCTCTCTGCAGATCATTTTTCATCACACAGAGGAAAATATGCCCAACCTCCAACTCTGGAGTTTTTATTACCTATAAAGTACTGATGTCTCTCAAAATTCTTAGGATGACCTCATTGGCCTAGGCTGGTCAGATATTCATTCCTAGGACAACCAGATGGCAGGAAATGAAAGAATCTGGTAATTTCCATAGTCGTCAGTTATTGAGGGAGATAGTTCCCTGAAGACAGATTGGGGATACCAGTTGGGTATAGACTACCCTGCCGTGACTGTCCACTACTTGTAATTCCAGATGAAAATGCCCAGTTTTTACAGAAGTTTCTCCATTCTACACCTTGATGGTTTAAAAGCACATCCTAATTTGCTCCCTGCTTGGGTGTTTATGGTGTGTACGTGTGTGCCACCATCTGCGGGCATGCACAAAACAGTCAACAGAATCCAACGTGGTCAGCCCAGGATGCCTTGGGAAATCTGGCCAGCTCCTTGGAACACAGGAAACCAGGAAAGGGCCGCCTCTTCTGCCGGTTTCACAAGCCTCCATGTGCCCCACAGAAGTGGGGATGCCAGCTATCTCCTCTTCAGAAGGCCGAGATGCCGGCCGGAGTTGTGCAGCTGGGCCCCCCGTGCAGTGGGACACCACAGCAGCTGCCGCGGGACCCGCGCAGGCGGAGAGCACGTGCCGGTGGAGCGCGTCCATTGCGCCCAGCAAGAGCGCCAGGACAGTCAGCGAGATGGCCATTAAATTACGGCGCGCACATTAAGATTCTGGCTGCGGCCACAGAGGAACACTTATCAGAGGTGAAGCCTCTAGAAATGCCATTCATCTCAATAGAGAGCTGCTGAGACAGAACAAAAAGACGAGGGCGCGGGCAGCGGGGGAGGGGAGCGCAGCGCCCCATTGGATTCCGGTTCCCAACCAGAAGGCCCCCCAGCCGTGCACCGGGCAGGGCCCCCAGCTCCCAGCTGCTGCGTCCTGGGTACCTGGCTTGTGCACTTGCTCAACATAGTTCTCTGGGGACAAATGATTCCTTCCGTTGCCCAAAAGATGAAATGGAGGTTCAGAGGGCTTAAACCATGTGTCCAAGGACACACGTGTAGTAAGGAGCGCAACCCGAATTCAAACCCAGGCCTGTCCAGCTTCAAAGTCTGGGTTTTCAGGCAGCCCAGTGCTGCTTCTGGAATAGTTTTCAGAACTTGGGACCCCCTGGCCCTTCCACATCGGTGTTTGTCAGTCCCCTCAGAGGTCTGTGGATTGAACAATGTCCCCTCAGCCCCTAAAGAGAAATATTTAAAAAGAAAATCAAGGAAAACATGCACATTTCACAGGAAATAACATACTCCCCAGACATCTGACTGTTAGTCAAGGTAATTTAACAAGAAATAGCCCACAGCTACCAGGCTGTGAGCCCACCGCATTCCCAGACCCTGGCTTCCGTTTCCCCGTGCTTGTGCATATGCTGCACTTATCTGTGTGTGACAGGTTAGTTAGACAAATGTGCTGGGAGTAGGGAAGAATAATTAGCACATTCATTAATTAGAGCAGCGTTAGCAGTTTGACTGTGAAGGACAACCGTTTGTCAACAGAGATCAGGACAGCTGGGGCCAAGCAGCAGCTCAGGGGGACAGCAATTCAGAAACAGCCATGGCACTGACCAGCTGCTATTTAAAAACATGGGAGCTGCTCACACGCTTAGCATCAACACGCCTCCATCACCATGGCAACATGGGGCCACTTGGGCTGGCTGTCAAGCAACAACATTCACCTCTCCTTCATCTCACCTCGGGGTGCATACTGCCATTCCATGGTATTTCTTCTCTCCACTTTTCATTCAAGGTTGCCCTTGATGTTCATCAGGATGAGGACTTCCCTGTACATAAACGTTGGGGCTGAGAGAGAGGGCACAGAAATCCCCCGAGCTGGGGTGTCAACACTGGACTGGACAGAGAGACATAGCCCAGGCCTACGGGCACGGACTGCACATGATTCCAAAGCGGTTCCTTTAATTTCAGTTAATCTAAGAAATATTCAGACAATACTGATCTGAAAGTAATAAGTGATATGAACAAAGACCAGGCCACCATCTGTTCTAGTTGTCATACGTCGATAGTCTCCAAGAAACCTAAATTCAGTCTGGCTGGTGTCACATCTCCCTCCCTGGCCACAGTCAGATGGCCTTTCTTTACATGAACAGCCCATGGTTCTGAACTGAATTGAACTAAGCAGAGATGAGCCTGCATGCCATTATATAGATGAAGAGACAGAGGGTTGGTGAATTTGCTGGAACCCTCAATGCTATTGATTAAATTCCACACATGCTCAGGGCACTGAGCTAGGTGCTTTACAAATCAAAACAGCATTTACAGACACGGCCTCCTTTCCCTAACGTCTCAAGCTATAGGCTAATAATATCAGTGCAAGGAAACAGCTAGAAGCAGAGATCCAGACACATGGACAAAGACTACAGGAAACCAAGTTAGTATCCAGAAAACCACTTTTGCCCTCCCATCACAAACACACACAACACGGTGTATTGCTGAGTTGGTAGGAAAGTTGAGCAAGTAACCCCTAAGTGCACAAAACCTTCTCCTGTGTATTGTGTACAAAAACAGAGTCTGGACAAAGCTCTTCTGCCAAAATATCAGCTCGATCAGTCTTATATGCTCTCTAAGTAGAGGAGGTCAGTAATGCTCATGACCTGACTGGGAACATTCGCTTCTAATAGGATTAGAAATCATGATGGTCAAATATGCTCAGCTGAGTTTTGATACAGTACTTCTGTGAGAAAAGGAAAGTCCTTTTAACAAAGGGAGCTAGAACAACTGAATATTCACATGGCCACAAAAATGATCCACGTGACTCTTCCCAGAAAATCATACAAAAAGGGGCCTTACCCTATAAAGCTTCTAGAAGACCGCATAAGAGAAAATCTTTATGACCATAAGAAAGGCAAAGATATTTTTAAGACACAAAAGGTGTGAGCCACATAAGGAAAAAATTCAGTAGAGTAGACTTCATCAAAATTGAAAACTTCTGCATGGCCAAAGATACAATTAAGAAAATAAAAAAGCGAGCCACAGATGGAGAAAATATTTGTACTACATAATCCCCAAGAAGTTTCTCCCCAGGCCCTGTCATTGTCGCCATTCTTTCAGTACTTTATCAGGATCCTTTGGGCACCCAGCCAAAGTTCCCAGTGCTTGTTCTACAGTGAATGTTTGTTTGATAAGCGCCGTAACTCCCAAAAGATCCACTTGGCAGCCCTCTGTTGAGACGTGGTAAACTTAGACTCAGTGCAGATATATGTGTATTAAAAATGAATGCCCACCTCCTATGACTTCATAGGAGAAGGCGTGGAGGGAGGGGTATCCGGCGAGCAGAAGGAAAGAACATGGAAAAGAGTCAAGGAAGACTTCACGAGCCATGTGCAATGACTGGAAACTGAGTTACACACTTCATTTCCCCCGGGTCCATGACCAGAGGGGGTTCCCAGCTCTAGATGAGGGGCACAGCATCCACAATGAATTATAACCCCTGCAATCAAAGAGCATCCGTGCCCTCAGAGAGGTGGAGAGAAAAATTGGAAAGGTGGCCGTGCCCTGGAGCACCCTTCAGGGTGCAGA